CGCACCATAGACGCACACACATTCTCCTTCATTTTTGGAGGGAAAAAGTGCGTCCTATAGTGCGAAAAATACGGTAAATTTTTTTTTCCTTTATTTCCCCCCCAAAAACTAGGTGCATCCTATGGGCCAGTGCATCCTATGGGGCGAAAAATACGGTACATTATATAAGAATCTGAAACATAACTGAGATACTTTGCACTCTGCATAAATTTTTTAGGCAGCTGAGGAGAAGAGGGGATACAGAGAGGTTTTATTATCATGGACAGTACATTTTGCAGGTACAATGAAAACACAAAGCCATCATATTATACACAGGTATACACAATGCTTTTGCAAAGACTATAATACATCCTTAAACATAGTCATTCTGACTATGCTGCAGACCTTGAACAGCAATCTGATTTTGTCTCCTGATTTTGGGTGTGCTGAGAATCAGTCATGAGTATGGCAGCAAAACTAATTACCTCTCTCTGTGCGTTTGACAAAGGAGTTATGACTTTCCAATGGCTGTCCAAGTTTTTTCCAAGACAGAATTTCTTTCTTCTTCAGGACAAATTCCACCTTTCCCACTTTTTCAGAGACCTGTACTAAAAATACACAGAGTGTTGTTCTATACTAATACATACATGTCGTTTTGTACAAAAAATGTAATTACAGCGTTCACAACCTGCCTCTGTTCAATTTATTATTAAAGAGAGAGGGAGGGAGTAAAGCCCTTGGGAGACCCACTGAAAGAAATGGTCATTCATTTCAATGAGTCTTCTCCGTGGATGGTAGTTGGATATTCTCCAGACACAATAAAACTGCAGGGCAGCAGCTGAAAGAATGAAACACAGCTACTTTGCTGAAATTAAACAGATTTGGGCTAGTCAGTGCCTGAACTCCTTATGTACCAATATTGCCATGAGCTGCCTGATATAGAGAGGTGGAACAGATATGTAAACAGTAATAGTCAGAATGTGAAAAGCATTTGATTAAATACCACATTTTGCAGTTTTTATCTGAATGAGAGGATAGCAGATGCACGCTCAACAAGAGATTTTTACATATGGCAAGCAAATAAATAAATAAATAAAGGACAAATTATATTCAAAGGACAACAGATCATTGTTACAGGACCCAACATAGAGTAGCCTGAATCAAAAAGAACAGCAATATAAGGAAGCTTTTGGCTGGTTCCTTCTTAACAGCAGCGCTCATGTAGAATGACAGACTGTTTCTAAAGTAAAGTGAATTTCAAAAGTAGTTTGCAATATGGCACAGGGGTCTTTAATGCAGCATTAAAGGGGTTTTTTTAAAAAAAAAATCAACAGAAAACACTTGTATGAGCAGAAAAGCATTTCTTTCAAACTGTTCATTGGTAAAGAAAACTCTCAAGAGACTCAAAAGACATTAAGATACAGTCATTCAAGAATCTTGACAGCTATGAAATGCATTACAATGAATAAGATAACTAACATAAAATGTAAGCTTTGCAAAGAAGCTGATGCAAGATGATACTCTCAGTTCTTAAGTTAACATGCTGCTACAGTAAGCTAAACCAGTTTAACTTCAATGGTGCACCATGTGCATCTAACATTGTTTTCATATAGGCATGCATCAATGTGTGGTGAACCATACACAACACACTAAGATTATAATCCAATCATATGAATTGCTATGCCAACAAATACTTGCTAAGGCTCTGCAGTCTTGATTAGCACAAGAGTTAACATGATGTTAGAACAGGGAAAGTATTTAAGTTTCTCAAACAGTCATCTGGAAGGTACGAGCAACTCTCAACTTACACTTCTGCGGATGGCACTTAAAGTCAAAAATTGCACATAGTCAAAACACACTGGGTTCAACAGCAGGTGGGATTCCAGATGCCCACCCCCTTTTTGCCCCCTTTTAAACTTTTTGGCCATGAGTAAAAAGCTGAATGCGTGTAAGTTAAATGTGCGCAAGCTGCGAGTTACCTGTACTTAATATACAGCACAATAAATACATAGAAATACAAGAAATATGTTACATTTCTTGCATTATGTAAGATTTCGGTGACAGCACTAGTAGTAATATTACTGAAAAAAGTGATCAGATACTGAATATACTAACAAGTCAGAGCAAAAAAAGCACAAATGTTTTGACTGTAAGAGGATGTACTTGCTTACCTATCATATCCTCATGAACTGCATAACTCAGTTCTAAAACAGAAGTATATATTTTGATTTAATAAAAACCAAGTGTCTCTCTACGTCGATTATTATGAGTAGCAATAACCATTAAATGTACAGGTGTCAGGAAAATGCAAAGCTTTAGAGTTTTGCATTTCATCATTTAAATAAAGTTATGAGGTTCTCTACAATGGAAAACCCAAATAATTAGCTATACCACAAAGTTCCATTAAATTAATATATAGGCATTGCTTGACAGTACATATTCAAGTCTTGGAAGTGCATGCTCCCTTCTCCCCTTTTCCTTGCCAGGAGGCAATTCCCTCCCTTTGCACTAAGCATAGTTTGCTTTGAAACCAGAATTGGAAATACGCAACAGCATCTTTTGGTTTGGTGGCAAACAGGAAGTGAGGGAAGAAACTGCAGCACAAAGGGAAGGAGGAATTGCACGTTCAAACTAAAGGCTGTTTTCATGTAGTGCCAAATTATTGCTTGCTGTTATACTTCAATTGAGCCTCATATTGCAACCAATTTACTAATCACATTATAAACCACTGTCTCGGGGTGATTTACACATAAATTAAAAACAGAAAAACAACAGATACATTTAAAAGAAAACTAAAACTTTACAAATGGAGACTCATGATAAAAACTAGTCATAAATCAAGGATCCACGTATCTGTGTGGTGCACACAGCTGGAGCTTCATTCTATTAAGAGGAAAGGTCAAAGCTCAAATGGTAGAAAGTGTGCATTACATTCACAGTGTCTCCAACATTTCCAGCAGAGGCTGGGGAAAGCTCCTGTTGGAAAGCTTGGAAAGCCTCTATCACTCAGTAGAGATGATCTGATCTAGATGGAGCATCCTGCACTTGCACTCAGTCACTCTGTTTTACAAAGTTCAATACAGTGGTACCTCGGGTTACATACGCTTCAGGTTACAGACTCTGCTAACCCAGAAATAGTGCTTCAGGTTAAGAACTTTGCTTCAGGATGAGAACAGAAATCGTGCTCCAGCGGTGCAGCAGCAGCGGGAAGCCCCATTAGCTAAAGTGGTGCTTCAGGTTAAGAACAGTTTCAGGTTAAGAACGGACCTCCGGAATGAATTAAGTACTTAACCCGAGGTACCACTGTATCTGACAATTTAATGGTGCCCTTTAATGGTGCCCAAAGTCTATCACTTGAATTTTCTCTTCACTTTCCGCTGGAGAGGAAAGATGCTTTTAAAAATGAACACTAGCTACTCTTAAGGAACAGAACAACTGCATGCAGGAATGAAACTCCAACTGAATGCACAAGTCTCTCCCTCAACATATTTCACATCTTTGGAGTCTAGACTCCGGTATACAGATACCAGCCTTTCCCAACCCTGTGCTCTCCAGGCATTGTTGGACTACAACTCCCATCAACCCTGACCTCTGGCTATGCCTACCAAGTACAAAGCATTCATGGGGTACCATGGCTTGAGTACAATACACATTCCACTCTTATCACTGCGGGATTTTAATGCAGCTGAACTGCATTTATGTATGGGTGTATATGTGCATACATTACATGTATATAATTACATGCACACCTCTGCAATAAAGAATTTGCCAGTAAAGTCCTTACCGAGATGTAAAAGATACGAGTAGTCTTTCACAATCAGCTCTCCTCTCAGTTTACGTTCTTGAAGATCAGCTATCACCAACTCACTGTTCATATCCTTACAGAGGAAGGAAAATGAAGGTTTTTCAAAGTGGTTGTTAAAATTGAAGTGTTTTTATTATAATAGTGCACCATCAACGCGCACAGCACTTTTACAAAGTAACAAGAGTTCTCCACAGTGGAGAGTTTTCAATCTGAACCTATCAAGAGGAGCCAAGAAAGAAGACAGGAAGGAGGAGGTGAGGGTAAATGGTTGAAGAAGGCACTTCACTTCCACATACTTAAGCTTGGTTTTGGTACAGAAGGAGGGCAGAGGGAGGAGGAGGAAGAAGAAGAAGAAGAAGAAGAGGAGGAAGAGGAGAGGAGGAGGAAGAGGAGGAGGAAGAGGAGGAGGAGGGGAGTTTGGATTTGATATCCCGCTTTATCACTACCTGAAGTAGTCTCAAAGCGACTAACATTCTCCTTTCCCTTCCTCCCCCACAACAAACACTCTGTGAGGTGAGTGGAGCTGAGAGACTTCAGAGAAGTGTGACTGACCAAGGTCACCCAGCAGCTGCATGTGGAGGAGTGGGGAAGCGAACCTGGTTCACCAGATTACGAGACTACCGCTCTTAACCACTACACTCGCAGTGGCAAGTGAGCCCACAGAAGTGTTCTTGGAGGCAGTTTCAAGCATATGGAGAAGCAAGAAACAACTCCGGACAGCTGTTAATGAGGGAGCTGGAGGAGCGAAGGCCAAGGTGACCTGAGTTCAAATTCCCAGCTAGCCACGAAATGTACAGGGTGGCCTTGATTTAGTCACTATTTTTTAGTCTATCCTACCTCACAGGGTTGTTATGAGGATGAAATGTGGGGGGAGAACAAGTACGTTGCTTTGAGCTCTTTGGGGCAAAGGCTGGATACAAATGGAGCTACTAAATGATATATTGGAAAAACAAGTATACAGTTTTCAAAATTCTTTAATATAAAAAGCAATTCTCTACCTTTTGTTTAGTGTATATGACCACGGTGATGGAACCATCTGTCTGGAACCAATCATAACTGAAATATTAGGGGGAAAACCTATTAATCTTTTTGAAACAATGCATGTATATATCTGCCTCCGTCTTCATTTGTTTGCTGAAGAAATATGCCTAAAAGCACTTGAAAACATTCCACTAACTAACGAAGCTTGTGAGCAAAACTCTGGCAGTCGCACGAAAAGATTGATATTAACTTAGTTTACTTTAATCTGAAAGGCACCATCACATAGAACAAACGTTGAGTTACTTTGTTTTGTTTATAATTTGAAATTACTGTAGTAGAATTTAGCTGCCCATTTCCCACTCCACCAAGTGGTGGAGTGGGAAATGTACCAAGAATCCCAGCCCCCTAGAAATTACTGAATTGTTATTCATGCCATTAAATAGTGTAACAATGGTCACCGTACTGCAGCTATTTCATGGAACTGTGTAGGCGGGTCACCTAAGAGCTGCTAGTTGTTACTGAAGCTTATGTAAAATAGAGCTTTACAAAGATTTTATAAAAATGATAATGGTGTCTTGGAATAGTACCTGGGAACTGCTTCTTTGGAATAATTATCCGGGACTTTCTTTTTAGAAAACAGACCTGCAAAAAAGAAAAAAGAGAGAGAAGAAAGAAATGATATACATATCATTTCCTAAAAAGCAAATGTTATTCATTAGGTAAACAAATTGACTTAGATCCACGGTTCCCATGGGCAGCACTCCACGCCTGGGCTGCTCCTGTGGAGGAATGGCAAAGGATATTTTCACTGACCCCTGCAAAGTTGGAGGAAGTGATGCGGGGGTGCCTGGGGAGAACAGACAATTTGCTTCCTTCCTCCTTCTACTGTGGGCAGCCTTCACTGGATTGGTCCTTTAGAAACTAGAAGGAGTTTATTAGAAGGGATAATCTGCATCCACCCCCAAGTATGCAGATATAACCTTAGTTTTCATACCATTTTATCGGCATGAGATGTGTAATCAGCCCGATCTACCTCTCAGTAGGTTACAATAATATATGAGTGAGAACATGCTATGTTAGATCTGAACTTTTTTGGACAAAAGGCAATATAAAAATATAGCAATAATAACTTTTTCAAATACAGTGGTGCTGCCGCAAGACGAATGCCTCGCAAGACGGAAAACCCGCTAGACGAAAGGGTTTCCGTTTTGGAGGTGCTTCGCAAAACGAATTTCCTATGGGCTTGCTTCGCAAGACGAAAATGTCTTGCGAGTTCCTGCAGGGTTTTTTTCTCCCCCCCCCCCTTTTTCCCAAGCCGCTAAGCTGCCTTCGCTAAACCACTTAACAGCTGATCCGCTAAGCCGCTAAGCGGCTTAACAGCTGATCGCTAAGCGCTTATCAGCTGATCCGCTAAGTCGCTAAACCACTTAACAGCTGATCCGCTAAGCGCTAAGCCGCTTAACAGCTGATCGCTAAGCCGCTTATCAGCTGATCCGCTAAGCCGCTTATCAGCTGATCCGCTAAGCCGCTTATCAGCTGATCCGCTAAGCCGCTAAGCCGCTTATCAGCTGATCCGCTAAGCCGCTAAGCCGCTTATCAGCTGATCCGCTAAGCCCGCTAAGCCACTAATAGCGCTAATCCGCTAATGGGCTTGCTTCACAAGACGAAAAAACCGCAAGACGAAGAGACTCGCGGAACGGATTCTTTTCGTCTTGCGAGGCACCACTGTAAAGCAGTGTTTCCCAACCTTGTGCCTCCAGCTGTTTTTGAACTACAACTCCCATCATCCCTGACTAGCAAGACCAGTGGCAAGGGATGATGGGAATTGTAGCTCTACCTGGAATATATCAGGCACTTGCTGAAATTAGTTCAGAACGTTCAGTTCAGAGTTGATTGTCCTTAGGTACTTGGAAGCACTCAGTTCAGGACACATGGTTTCATGCCTCCAGAAGTATTAAATTGTCTGAGCACAGAAACACCCAATCCAAGAGAATAGATGGAAAAAGGCAACCACGTATCACTTTGTTAAAGAGCAAAGCGTAGCAGATGAAGATTCCTGGTTTTAATGCATTTGTTTTGGAGCTCAGATGAGGTTTTCTGTCAGGATGGCCTAACATGCTAGTGTTATGCAATTTTAAAATGTATAAACAGTTTTAGTAAATACAGCACACACACAACTTGTATCAAAAACACAAAGAAACCAGCTACCATATAAGACTGCGGAAGAGTTGCACAGTTGCTAGCAGCTGCACACACTTTGAACATAGCCTGACATAAAAGCAACTTTCACCAACGTCAAATTCTGCAGAACAGCATTTGATGTGTTTCCGCTGTTTGCTTCAAATTCATTGTTTAAGAATATTTATATACTGCTTCATATTTTAAAGTATCTAAAGCAGTATGCAGTGCTGATTATACCACATAATTAGAGCTATTATCCATCTGATCACACAAGGGCCCTGCCTTGAATCTGCTGCATGTGAAAGCAAAACGAATCTAGAAAGCTCTCAACTAAGTACAATTCAGAGTACTGTGAAAACAGCCTTTGAGTCTGTTTTTTGGTGATGTAGGTGGGGGGAAAGTGTCCACGCAAAGCACTCAGCTTCACCCCATAGCCAGCTGCTTGTTGTTACATGCATCTCATCTCACTTCCAGAATACCTGCTGCCTTTGGGCCTGCCCAGTTGCCGTTAGGAGAGCGCTACTTTCCCCTTCATCCACACAAGACACTGCAGCAGAAGACTATGCATAAAACTGGAGTAATCCGTACTTTAATGAAACATAATTTGGAAGTAGGGGGTGGATAACTTTTTCCCCCCAGTCCAATGACTGCAATTCAAAAATGGAAAACCATGAGGGACACATGCCTGACTATGGCCAAAGTGGTCTCTGAATGTGCAACTGCTGTTGCATGCATGCACTTTACTCACCACAAACTCGTTTCAAAACACACACATATAAATTGTTAATCCAGGCATGCATCATCCACAAACTGCAACTTCCCCATCTCCACTTAGCCCAGCATAAAGATGGGAGAGATTTCCAGCTCAGAGAAAGGACTATTTCCATCCAAAGCACAGCAGTCTTCTACTCTTGGTGGAAGCCAGCCTCATGAGGGGAAGTGGGTCACATTTAAAGCTTGGCAAGTCAGATCCAACTCATAGGTTGTAGGGTTCACCACTCCCAGTGTAAAGGATCAAAATGAATGCTGGATCCACTGCACATAGTTATATGGTGCAAGAGACAGTAATATTCCCAGCCATAAGAGTTTTGCAATGTTACCAACAAAAGAACAGAGACAACTAGTAACTCAAATCCAAAGAAAGTCACACAAAGTCCATAGACATAAAATTATGTCAATGTCCTGCTGCTTTTCATGGGTCTTCTCAGATTTCCCAAGGAAATCTTTTCCAAAAGGTTGGGAAACTCTCAAAAAGTGTGTGAGTTGGGGAGACATGAGGCATTTCAGGGAGGAGGGGAAATTGATGAGAATCTGCTAGTGGAAGCTACCACTAGATGGAACACGCTTCTGTGAACAGAATGGACATGTAGGATTTAGTCAAATACCATTAAAAGGTGAGGATAAAGGATCCAGATAGCCAGATGAAAATCCACACACCCCAATACCACTAGGCATTCTGTCTAAATTCTACCATCTAAATATAGCTTTTGTTATTTGAAAAGATGTCCTTCAGTTGGTAATGGAAATGTCATTCAAGAATGCTGACCTTAAGGTTCCCAGGTGTCTAATACAAGTCTGAACAGAAAATGAGTCAAACAAAGCCAATACCAGAAAGAAAGAAAGAAAGAAAGAAAGAAAGAAAGAAAGAAAGAAAGAAAGAACTGGAATACTGCTGATGATTTCAAACAGTGAAAGTATACCTGTTCCACTATGTGGTAGCAGTTTCTAAACCTTACCAATAACTATAATAAAATATTAAATGGTTAAAACTGGAATATTTTCCATTAACCATCTCTTCAGGATGAGGAAACTCGGTATTATTCAAGACCTATGACCCAAAATAAGTAGAATCAAAGTTTGCTATACCTATAGAAACACAACAGAAAAACAAATCTGCCCTCTTAATGAATTGTCAATAATACACTATGAAGACTTCCCAGGGGAAGAGATTTTTAGAATGCCCTTTAGAAACTCTCTGTAAACAAGGCTTAGCATTTCTTTTATTGATTAAAATTGATCTTTTCTTGCTTGCCTACAGAAAATATATTTAGAATTATACTATTATACTATAACTATAATCCCAAGCCGGAATTAAGATCGCCGGAAGAAATATCAACAACCTCAGATATGCAGATGACACAACCTTGATGGCAGAAAGTGAGGAGGAATTAAAGAACCTTTTAATGAGGGTGAAAGAGGAGAGCACAAAATATGGTCTGAAGCTCAACATCAAAAAAACGAAGATCATGGCCACTGGGCCCATCAACTCCTGGCAAATAGAAGGGGAAGAAATGGAGGTAGTGAGAGATTTTACTTTCTTGGGCTCCATGATCACTGCAGATGGTGACAGCAGTCACGAAATTAAAAGACGCCTGCTCCTTGGGAGAAAGGCGATGGCAAACCTAGACAGCACCTTAAAAAGCAGAGACATCACCTTGCCAACAAAGGTCCGTATAGTTAAAGCCATGGTTTTCCCAGTAGTGATGTATGGAAGTGAGAGCTGGACCATAAAGAAGGCTGATCGCCGAACAATTGATGCTTTTGAATTATGGTGCTGGAGGAGACTCTTGAGAGTCCCATGGACTGCAAGAAGATCAAACCTATCCATTCTTAAGGAAATCAGCCCTGAGTGCTCACTGGAAGGACAGATCGTGAAGCTGAGGCTCCAATACTTTGGCCACCTCATGAGAAGAGAAGACTCCCTGGAAAAGACCCTGATGTTGGGAAAGAGAGAAGGGGACGTCAGAGGACAAGATGGTTGGACAGTGTTCTTGAAGCTACAAACATGAGTCTGACCAAACTGCGGGAGGCAGTGGAAGACAGGAGTGCCTGGCGTGCTCTGGTCCATGGGGTCACGAAGAGTTGGACACAACTAAACGACTAAACAACAACTATAACTATGTTACAGGGTTGCTGTAGATTTTTAGTAATTCCTTCATTCATTTTTTTCTCCTATAATTACATGTTATAGTGTTCTACGAGTTCAGGAATATCATATTGCTTACAGGGACCACATATACTGAAACTGTCACTACTGGAAATTCACAGACTATCTTAAAGTTAACAACAACAACAAAAACAATCCAGTTTAATGCAGCAAGACTGAATTTTCAAGCCTTGACAATTTATTTTCCAACTTCCTAAATGCTGCAAGTGACCTTTATATTAAAGTCTAAACTAGATTTGACACAGGAAGCATGGGACACAATAGAAAACTCATTGAAAATATCAACTGCCTGCTATAGCACAGGGGGGAAAGTACTGTGTGACCACATTGTAATTGCATTTGAAAGATAATATTTCCGCATAAGGTACGATCTAGCATTTTGCACAAGCCTTTTCCCTCTTATCTGGAAAAAGAAGACAATAGGTGGCATCCAACTAACATGTCCTGTCAGCACAAGGATTTCCTATAGTGCAACAGAACACCCCACCCACCAGAGCAGATTTGGGGAGGGCATAGGGCATGTGCAGGGAGACAAGGGAGAAAGTTATGTTGTCCAAGTGTAAATCCTTGTGCTGACCGGATGCATTAGTTAGCTACACAAGTAGGTCTTGCCCCAATGATTCAGTTGCAAGGACTGAAGGTCCCCACCTTCCCGCCGTCCTATAAGGCTCCTCCTCTCCATTGTCTATCCGAAGCAGTTGCAGGCTGCATCTGCATACAACCACTTTCTGCTCTTCCCTTTCCATTTTTCTAGGAGAAATGGGCTCTAGGAGACCAGGAGAGAGGGCAGCTGGTCGCAGAAGGAGGGGGATTCTCCTTGGATTTTCACCAACCTGCCTCATCGCTGCCTCTTGGTCCCACTCTTTTCCAGCCTCCGCTTCTCCCACAGAGTTTGAACTGCTCTCTGACACAGCCTCTTCCTGCTCACTAAACCCTGTTACCTATTTTGCCTCTGACTACTCCTCCTCCCTCTGACCACTAATTGTCACCCCACCACCAACTCCCCTGGCTCTCAGCCTTCTTCCCCTGGGGGTTCCCTGGGGGGTTTTCCAGCTAGTGCCTCCCACCACTCCTCTGCCTCCAGCCAGTCCATGACATGGTCACATATTCAGACCCCATTGGCACAACTGCCTTGGCCCTCTACTTTTACATCTCAGTACAGTGGTACCTTGAACACTTCGGGTTACAAACACTTTGGGTTACAGACTCCGCTAACCTGGAAGGAGTACCTTCGGTTAAGAACTTTACCTCAGGATGAGAACAGAAATCACGCCATTAGCTAAAGTGGTACCTCAGGTTAAGAACGGTTTCAGGTTAAGAACGGACCTCCGGAACGAATTAAGTTCGTAACCAGAGGTACTACTGTACAGTATATACAACACAGAATATTATGCTCGATAAGCTTCCTATCACAATAAAGCTCCCCCCCCCCCCAGTTTCATCATAAACTTACACTGCCCTTTAGTGTTGCAATATTAGATTTCTTACATCCACCCTCACAAGGCAAATGCTCAACATTTCGCTTTCACAGATGGAGAGCACAGCCTGGGGAAAACTGATTTTCCCAAAGTCCCATAATAAAAAACTGTTCTAAGTCTAATGCAATATACAGGGAAAGATTTGGCTCTTGCTTATTTCTCTGCATACCAATTCTTCTCCGGTTCTGCCACTATGCTAATGAACTCAATGAACAGTGGCAACAGAAAATTGGTTTCATGTCAGGCTTTTTAATTATAGTTTTGTTCCTGTTCTATTCATAAATTACAAGCAGAGAATATACCTGCTTTTTAAGTGAAGGCATGGTAGATTATCTTTATAAAGAAAGACAGATGAGGGGGAGTTGAGTCAGAGGGCTTATTTACACAAGGTAGATGACTCAGTGTTGTTTTGCTGCTCTTCATATCTGCCCACGCTTATTTGCAATGAATTTCTGATTCAGTCCATTTTTACATGCCCAGTACAGTGACTCTAGTATTGTTCAGATATATTTATCGGCTAATGAAGCATATTATTGAAGCAGACTTTGATGGTGACTTATTCAGCTCAGTCACCCATTAACCCTTTCAAACAAAAAACAAATGTGTTACTCCATGACAGCTACTGATAATATGGTATTATTTTTTAGCCAAATATAATTGCCTGTCCATATGTTCTACAGGTATTTCTCCAAAGCAACAATTTAACAGCCTTTCCTCCTTATTCTCAGCAGATACAATAAGCTGTTATTCCTTACTATAGCTCAGTGGATCGCTTTATATGATCAGCGTTATGCTGATACAGGAAGGGGTGGGGAGAAAGAGAGGGAGAGAAGAACCAGTTTGCTGCCTTTTTAATTCTTCTCCACAATACTCTAAAAACTAGAATCCGTATTTTGGAAGAAGCATTTTACTCTTAACAACAAGAAGTGACATGAATTGTGGCAGGGCTAGCCCTGTAGAGCCTCACTGGGGTGGGAGAGTGGGAAAACTTCATCTCTAATTTTGCTTCTTAAATGTATTTTGCTCAAAACTGCAGACATCCTTTTGTTAGCAGCAGTCAACCCTGCAGGAAGCAAACCTAAAAACAGACTTAAAGAATAAAGAAATCTAAATTCTAGTTTCCGTTAAGAAACTCACTGCTCAGCTAAGTAGCCGACTTCTGATTAGGACATAAGCGACAGCATTAGAAACACAGAAACTTTTTCATGATCTCTTCAGAATCATCTTTTAAATTGTTTGGCATGTGTCAAATCTGTGTGTTTCCTCTCCTCTCTCTTCCTCTGGTGCAGCCACAAGGAGATTAGAAGCTTGTGTTTCTGTTTCCAATTAACAGCAATCTGTTGCTATGTCCATTCTCTGAGAAACAGTGATTAGTCTTAAGTATGGTTTAAACCAGGCATAGGCAAACTCGGCCCTCCAGATGTTTTGGGACTACAACTCCCATGATCCCTAGCTAACAGGACCAGTGGTCAGGGATGATGGGAACTGTAGTCCCAAAACACCTGGAGGGCCGAGTTTGGGGATGCCTGGTCTAAGCCATAGGAAAGACTAACATCATTTTGAATTCAGACATAACACACTACAGTTAGTTGAAAACTGAAATTAAAGCTTCCAATACGCACCTCATGACGCTGGAAGAGCAAATGCATTAGCCCAATGCTTGAGCACTATGGTTTAATGTAACATCTCAACTCAGCCAAATGACTTCTGCAATCGCAATTTCTTCAACAATCCACTATGAAAAATTTGACCCAATGTCTAAGCACCACATATATGCACAGCAATTTGCTCCAACTTGTTCTTCCCGAAACTCCTGCCACCATCTTTGAGCAGGCTTCAATATAATACAATAATATGAAATCACAAAGCAAGAAGGGAACTCAAGATCTGTGCTGTTAATAAGGGCACACAGGAACAGAGATTTCATCAAGCTCCTGCAAGTTTTCCAACAACAAAAACTCCTGAACTATTATTGGCAACAGATCCGAGGAGCATTTTTCTTCCCCTGCAGCTCTCTTTTTCAAGTAGCCCAATGCTCTATCTTCTCTATTTCATTTTCTGCTGTGCCATCTTATTTCTGACAGTAGCACATGACATTACAGGCAACTTAGATAGAGAGTTGTTGGAGTGAAAGTGGGATGGTCCTTAGTTTAGTCAGAAAAAGATATCTATATGAAGTTCCACCAGTGATCTGCATGTCTCTGATTTGTATATCTCTGTGTTGTTGTTTTTAAAATACATGCGATACTGTTTGCACCAATACTTACCATTTAAGATTCTGTTTTCTTCAGATACAATGGGGCAAGATTCTGCAAGTATGCAAGAAGAATGCTGTGATCATGAGAGCAAAAAACTCCCACAAGTTATGCTACAATATGCAATCATTCTGGGCAAAACAACACAAAACAAAAAAACTGAGGAAAAATAAAGAAGGCTCATCAAAGCTGAAGAGAAGAAAAATAAAGCATGCAAAAGAATAAAAAGCAGTAAACTGAAGAGAAGAATATATCCAATTGTAAATAAATGTAATTATTTGATGGGCTACTGGCATATATGATGAAAAAGTTAGTACAACCTTAGGAATTATATATTTAAAGCCACGGTTTCCCCAATCTGGATACATTCACTGCATAACATATAAAAGTGACAAATTGAAAACTGGATTTCTTAGAAATGCTGCAAACCATGTTTAGCCTTATGCTCCCAACATGTAGGATGCTGTACTGCTAATGGCACAACTATCTGCTATATTTTTGGATAATGAAACAATCACTATGAAAACCACATGGAACTGCCTCATTGTGCTATATCATTTATGTGTAGAGACTAGAATGATTTTTCCCCCCTGCATGCCACTATGCAATGTTTGTGGTAGTGTGAATAAAAGCCACACAGCTGCTATGGCAAGCCACTGTTTGCCGCATGGCAGCACTTGCTGCAAGAAGCAGCTTAAAGCACATTCCATTTAGCGCCCATTCATGTGCACCAGTTCTAGGACTTGCTGCACCAGTGCTGCTTCAAATGGAATGCATTATAACCCTCTCAGTGGCAGTACTCTGGACAATTCATCTTTGGCCCTTTCACCTGCAAGCAAATTGCAGGAAACACTAAACAAAAGTTTACAACCATTTCTGTAACTAACAGTGCATTTTAATGTCGTCATTCCTAAGTCGGGCCTTTGAAAATGTATAGTACTTTGTATAGAGCTGATGTCTTAACAGCAGACATTTTTAGGAATGGAATGATCTCCATATGGAATACTGAAAGCTTGGGATACTTTGTCCTACTCTTTAAACCTTGGCTATAGCACATTCATTTACATGTTATTTTTTCATAAAGGAAAAAAAATAGATACCTTTCAAATATAGTATCAGGTCCCAACAACTGGGGATAAATGAACTGTTTAACTGCTACTTTGTCCTCAAATCATTCAGATAGTCTTCACTCTAAACGTAAGTGTACCAAAAATGCCAACAAACAGCAAACTATGGCCACAAACACAGCATGCTCGAGTCTCTAGCTGTGCTTTAGGCTTGTGGGTTTTTTGGTGTTTGTTTGTTTTTTCAAATTGCGATCATCTCTGCCACATAAAGACCACCTCTGCTTTTTAATATTTTTAATGGATTTCAAAAGCAGTGGTGAGTGGCAGGCTCTCATTTTTTCAAGAAGCACCACAAGTCCCATGGGATGCATATGTAAGCCCCAGAGATTGCCTAATGAAGGACCTCTGGAGATTGTATCCAAAATTTCCCCCTTAAGATTATTGCTCCCTGTCTGTTGTCGTTAGTGTTTGTTCTTAGAGCTAGGAAAGACGAACAGCTAAATTACTGTACAATGAACTATCCTAAGTAGAAGAACTACTGTAACTATTAATTTAGCTTTGTATACGAAGCTGACTTTTGAAAGGCTGTGTTGGGAGGCGATACTCAGTATCATTTAAAAGTGCCAAATAAAATGAAAGGATATTGATCTATGTCTATTACACTGAAAAGGAAATTTTCGTAGTTCTTCTTTATAAGACATTCTAAAGAGCCTCCATTTCCTCGCTGAATCCAGGAGTTCAATATCATTATAGAGTGTGCAACAGAAATTAGAGGAAGAAAACAAGCTTTCAGCATCACACAAGTCAGCAAGAAGTCATGAAGAAGCTACTACCCTGGAGCGAACAGAAGACGTAGAGCAAAAGCTAGCAGAGCTTATGGGAGGCAGGAGATAACGATCATTCACAACCTCAAAATTGCCTAGGATGCCCAATTCTTTAATGCTATTTTAATCACATAAAAGTTATAAACCTGCACCAAGACCATTTGTTTTAAAACCCTGTTCTTGTACTTAAAAGATGCCTTAGCCAATCTGGATTCTACAGATTCTGCTCAACTAGAAGACTACTCTTGGTTACGTTTATACACAGCAGCATCTTACTATAACTCACAGTGTCAGCTACATAGCAACAATAAAACCCAGTCTCCTGAGCTCTCTGTTGTGTTGACACAGCAAGCAAATTAAAACAAGAAGCTAGAACATTGCCTTTTAAAGCTGAAACCAACACTTGGCAAGCATTAAAAATAAATTTTAACAAAACTGTGCTACTCAGGATTATGTATTGAGGGAAGGGAACCATGGCTCTGCAGAGGTAACACAATGAACTAGTTTTGCACATCTAATAATTCAATCTAGCAAATGCTGCTTATCATAAGCAAGTGTCAGTTAAATGAATGGGTCTTTAATAACAGGCAGATCGTGAGCGGACTACAGTGGTGCCTCGCAAGACGAAATTAATTCGTTCCACGAGTTTTTTCATCTTGCGATATTTTCGTCTTGCGAAGCACGGTGTCGGAAAAGTTTTGGAAAAGCTTCAAAAATCACCAAAGTCTTCAAAACTCATAGCACGCGGTGTGGTAGTCTTTTTTGAGGTTTTTAATAATAATAATAAGATATTATTATTATTATTATTATTATTAAAAACCTCAAAAAAGACTACCACACCGTGTGCTATGAGTTGCTCCTCGAAGTCAAGTCGCAACTGTATTAACGGTTTTAAGAAAAAGGAAACAAACTTGCAAGACGTTTCCGTCTTGTGAAGCAAGCCCATAGGGAAAATCGTCTTGCGAAGCAGCTCAAAAAACAAAAAACCCTTTCGTCTTGCGAGTTTTCCGTCTTGCGAGGCATTCATCTTGCGAGGTACCACTGTAATTTGCCTTTGGATTATCACTGCATCCAAACTCAGGTGCTTAACTGGACAATGCTAAGGGCCTCAACAAAAGACAACTTAGGTCTGCACATACAGTGTAAAGTGTAATGCAGCAATGTGTTTGAAAATTCAGGTATCACAGAGAAAGCCAGAATTGGCTACATCTCTCTGTCAAGTTACACTAGCAAGGGACATTGATTTTGGTATGGAATGTGTCAATGAACCTTACTCCAACATAAATGGGATTAGGATTGCACCTAGTTTTTTTAAAAAAAATATTAAACAATTTATTATTACACACACACACACACACACACACACACACACAGAGTGTATACCTTTCAAAGCAGCAAAAGGTTTGAGTGCCATTCTTCCAACCATACACTCTTTTAGCATCGATTCATAATTAACCCAGCGATGAACCTGCATGTGGAAGAAACCAGGACTATTTTAGGGGATTCGGACACTTATAATAACACTTGCTTCTAAGCAACTGTAAAGGTATAGTAAAAAAATAATAATGAAAACTTGTTACATAGAACTTCTGAATGAAAACAAACACAAGCAGAGGTAGATCCTGATCCACCATGGGGACAGAGGTACTAGGTAGCATAATATGCTTTTCATTTTTAAGAAATGTAAACTCAAAATAGGAACAATGCAACTAACACATGGAGTAGCACTTAAGCTTCTGATTTAGCTATTTAAGAGGGCACCTTGCTGAAGTTGTGCCCAATTGCTTAACAAGTGCATGATATAAATGAATTTTCAGTTTCTTTTTGGAGTGGACTCATGAACTCCTCTCTTTCCTCACACTTGGCCAGGAGGAACACAATGGAAGCTTTTACTTCAAAGCAACACATCTTACAACTCAAAACATCAAAAAGTTGTTGTTTATCATGATACACACATTATACACAATTTTAAAATATAGTAAATGACAGATTAGTGTCTTCTTCTTCAGGCAGCAGAATACTTTATAGTGTGCAGCTTTCGGATTAAGTTTTGATGAACTGAATACGACCTGTACTCTTTTTACCTGATCAAATAGCTCTGTGCCATCAGCTCCTGCTGCTTTCATCAACTCATCTTCGCCACCAGGGTGATATTCCATATACGGTGTGATATTATACACAAGACCTATAATTTTTGTAAAAAGATTTTTTAAAAATACAATTAAAACATGCAGCATGCCCTCTATGAAAAAAAATATTAAATATATCTGCATGCTTCTTTATTATTTTGGCAATACTGAAACAGGAAATTGTACAATGAAAGTGGTTATATTCACAAAAAGACAGGAATGCCATGCTAGGTAAACCTAAGGCACAATATTAAAGCACATGTGAGAGCTTATGTTCTGGTGACGAGGCATCTGAGAGTCCAGAATCCAGAGTCACATCTATCCTTGCTTCAGAGGAAGTGGTAGATCCAAGCATACATCCCTTCCTATGTGCATGGTTACCCTTTCCCCTAATCAATGGAGACGTAGTCACGTTAGGAAGAGCTCTGTGCATGCACTGCAACATGCAAGGAACCAGGAAAATACATATATTTACTTTTGTAACCCACTACTGAATCGGAATGATCATAGGTAAAATATTATATCCAGTGCTGTAAACTGTTCTACATTTGTAGATGTTATAAGAATTTTAAAGTCATATGTGTGTGTGTGTGTGTGTGTGTGTAACATTCATAAATGTTTAAACCACATTTATGTGGTCTAAAACCCCACAGAACAAAGTCCTGAAACCATTTTGTCTCTCCCAAACGACCTCAAATATTTCTCTGCAAGGTGAAAGGAAAAGGGGAGCCGCCCCATTGTCTCTTTGCTTACAAATCCTGTCTCAAGGACACATTTAATATATAAAGGGGGTGAGCCTGTGACCTGGATTCAGGGATTGAGTAGTTATTATAACAAAAGAGTTGCCAGGATGCCCAGGTAATCCAATCAGGTAACCTGGAAGACAGGATAAAAACAACTCACTCAGATTTCTGTTGTAGTCTGCCCCTTCTCTGATGTATGTATGATGTATTTGGGGTAGTGGTCTTGGGCTACACCCTTTCTGTGATGTATGTATGATGTATGGAGTGGTGGTCTTGAGCTACAGGGTGAAAAGTTCAAAAGTCTATAGAAGGGCTTGCACACCTTTGTCCTGGGTCCTCCTCCTCTCTCCTGCGTGTGAGGGAGCACCCTGTTGCAACACCTTTAATAAAGATCAGGCTTACTAGCTGCTTTGCTTCTCAATATTCTCTGGTTGGCCTCTGTTATTTTCTCCTACTGATGAAGAACCTACAAAGGACTCTATAAGGGCTCTTGTGGACCCCATAAGGGAAAGGGAACTGTTTTTGTTTACAACATAGACAAGGGATCCACTCTAAGAAAAGTATTTGCTGATAAATGGGTTAATCAGAACTGTGGGGTTCTCTCTCATTACAGGCTTGCACACTTGCAAAGCTAGAAAGCTACAACAAATCTACTAGGTTTCAAAAATGCCCCAAGACTGTGTGTGTATATAACACTGTCCATTTAGCAGTAGCACTAGATACAGAGAACAATGCTTTAGGGACTCATGGACCACTTGTCCAAATATCTTAGCTCAATACAGATGTCACATAACAAAGCCTTTCATCCAATATGCACTCAGAATGCCATCTAGTGTAAAGTGCTGAGCACTGCATATCAGAAAAGGTATGTTAACTCTGAAAGCAGATTCAGTCACTTTTTTGCTCATAGGTATCTTTGCAGAGTGTCCTGGGCAGACAGGTGAATTTATAACATCACTGATAAAAAAACAGAAGCGGGTATTTCACCACTCAGAATGGAGTGAGTGCCATTTTAAGGCTATGACAATTTAGCTGATGTCATAGAAAGGATCCTAATTTGTTCATAATGCATGGAAATGGTTTTCTTTCTCAAATCATGCGACCCACAGAAAATGTAGGTGATGCCAGCACGTCAATACATACAAATTTATATAAGGTGTGCTTCCCACTATCATTTACACAAGGTTTTAATTACAGTTAGGTAGCCATGTTGGTCTGCCATAGTCGAAACAAAAATAAAATAAAATAAAATAAAATAAATAATAAAATAAAATCCTTCCAACTAAGTTAGTTATTGGTATAAGCTCATACCGATAACTAACTTAGTTGGTCTCTAAGGTGCTACTGGAATGATTTTTTTTTTATTTTTTTATTTTGTTTTTGTCAGGGAACTGCCATCGGAGGAACCGGTGGTGAAAGGGCTCACGCAGGCTGGGAGAGACTCAGCAGCTGAAGCAGGAACCAGCAGAGGGAGTGGTGGGTCTCTGAGGGAAAGCGAGCAGGAGGGAGGGCTCAGGGACTCTTCCAGCGAGAGCAGTGGGGGGGTATCTGAAGCTCCCATAGGGAGACCAACTCCTCGCCGGAAACTGTCACGTCGTGAGTCCAGAAGACGTGTTTCCGTTAAGGAGCTGTTATGCTGGAAACGATTCCGAAAGCAACCACTGTCGGAATCTGCAAGTGACTAGAGCAGCCATGTCTGAGGGGCTCTGTCACAGACAGAAGTTTGTGGGCTTGAACAAACTCTGAGGGATTACGATTTTACGCACAAGCAGCTCATCATCCCATCACAGCATTCCGACAGTCTTTGTAAGCTGTTTGTGCAGGAGAAGGCATCATGAGCGACCCAGCCGGAACCGGGCAGGCAGGAGCTGGAGCAGGGCCAAGCCTGGAGGAGAGCTACCGGGCGTTGGAGATCCAGCTAGCGCTGCAGACGGCAAGGCTAGAGGAGAGAAGGGCGCAGGATGCAGACAAGAGGGGAAAAGCCACCCAGTTCCCCAGGAAGGTACCAGGATTGGTGCAGAAGTTTGGGGGGGACCCCAAGGACTACCATGCCTTTAGAACAGAGATGCAATATGCCCTCAATGTGCAGTTTGATGAATTCCCTGACGAGGAATCGCGAGTGGCTTACGTGATTGGGCATCTTGAAAAGGGAGCACGGGATTGGGTGAGACCCATGATGGCAACGAATAGTGCCATCCTAAAGGACACAATGAAGTTCTTTCGTGCCATGGATCTGATGTTTTCCAGTGATATTGAGCAGGGAGTGGTACGCAGGCAGCTAATGGCTTGCAAACAGGGGAGCCGATCTGTCCGTGAGTACTGGACTGAGTTCACCATGATGGTTCACAGATTGGGGTGGGACTTATCGGCGGAACCCATTCAGATGCTATTTGAAGAAGGGCTGGCTCCGGTGGTGAAAGATGAACTGGCCAGGGGTCCCAGGGCGGATTCTATGGATCAGCTGAGCAAATCTGCGCTGACCATAGGAGCGCGCCAGGAGGCGAGAGCTTTGGAGAGGCGGGAAGGGAAGGGGGAACGTTGGAAGGAGTTCCGCATTCCAGACATTCCAGAAACAACTTTCCCGCCGGCAGAGCCGATGGAAATCGGAACAGCGCGCGCGCGCGCAGTTTCAAAGCCCAGTGAAGGGGGAAAGAAGGAGGGAAAAGGCGCCCGGAAATGCTATCTCTGCCAACAGCCAGGTCACTTTGCCCGAGTCTGCCCCCAGAGGAAAGAATGGCAAGGGATGGTGGGAGCTGTTGAGGGTAGAGAGGAGGAGAAACCGGAGCAAGTAAAAGCCAACGCCTGGTTGCCACCGTCGGGGCACAGCAACCAGGCCAAAGAGCAGTGAAAGTGCCCACGCCAGAACCTCCTAAACCTGCCTTAGTGATTGAAGTGTCACTAGAGCTGCAAAACGGATACCCCTTAAAGATAAAGGCGCTGTTGGATTCAGGCAGCTCCTGCAATTTCATAAGCAAGGAGTTTGCAGCTGAACACCAGATACAGACTATCCCTTTAAGCAACCCCCTGCAGGTGACCACGATCGATGGCAGGGAGTTGTTGGGAGGAGAAGTCAGCTTGCAGACCGTCCAATGATAATGAAGGTGGCAAGGCACACCGAACTGATAGCTTTTAATGTGGCCACCTTGGGAGGAGCCCCTATTATTTTGGGGATGAGCTGGCTAGCGTTACATGATCCGCTGGTGGGATGGCATCAGAGAGTGGTTTCCTTTAGTTCAGCACATTGCTTAGAACACTGCAAAGGGGGAAAGGGTTCAGCAGAGGCCCATGCCACCCTAGCAGGGACGGAAGTAATGGAGAAAGTGAAGGTACCACGACAATACGCAGATCTCAGCGACGTGTTCAGCGAGAAGGAAGCTGACCAACTACCCCCGCATAGACCCTTTGACTGTCAAATCAATTTACTCCCTGGGGCACAGCTTCCTGTAGGCAAGTTGTACGCCATGTCAGACAGAGAAATGCAGGAGCTAAGGGAGTTCATTGACAAGAACCTGAAGAGAGGTTTCATCAGAGAGTCCAGAGCGGTGGGAGGTAGCCCAGTGTTTTTTGTGGATAAAAAAAACACGGACAAGCCGAGACTGGTGTGTGACTTCAGGGGGTTAAACGCAGTGTCAGAACCCTTGGCTTTCCCAATGCCCCGGATTGACGACATTTTGACCAGGGTGCGGAAGGGAAAGATTTTTACAAAGCTGGACCTAAGGGGGGCGTACAATCTGATACGTATAAGGAAAGGGGATGAATGGAAAACCACCATGTTCACCCCTTTAGGGGCATTTGAATACTTAGTTATGCCATTTGGATTACAAGCAGGGTCGGCGTGCTTCCAAGCTTTTATGAACCACGTACTGGGGCCTTTACTGTACAAGAATTGTGTGGCCTTCCTAGATGACGTGTTGGTGTATTCTGAGAATGAGGAGCAACATGTAAGAGACGTCAGAGAAGTGTTGAGCAGGCTGCAGGCCAACCGGTTGTGGGTGAAACTGGAGAAGTGTCAGTTTCATACCAAGGAGGTGGAGTTTCTGGGGTACCGCCTGTCAGACAAGGGATTGGCCATGGATCCCGGCAAGGTCCAGGCAGTGCTGGAATGGAAAACACCCAAAACAAAGAAGGATGTGCAGAGGTTTCTAGGGTTTGGGAACTTTTATCGTAAGTTCATTCGAAACTTTGCCCACCTGACGGCGCCCATTACGGACTGTCTCAGCAGTAAGAAGAAATTCGTTTGGACTGAGGAGGCGGAGCGAGCCTTTGAGGAACTGAAAAGGGCCTTCGCCTCGGAGGAACAACTTCTGCATGTGGATTTACAAAAAAAGATGAGGGTCGAAACAGACGCATCAGACAGAGCCATAGGGGCGGTGCTTCTTCTGCAGCCAGGGAAGGAGGGGTCAGAGTGGAGACCGTGTGCCTTTTTCTCGCGGAAACTGAACAAATCCGAGAGGAATTACACGGTGTATGACCGAGAACTTCTTGCTATTCATGAGGCTTTCCGGAAATGGAGGCACCTGCTAATTGGTGCACAACATAAGGTGCAAGTGTGCACTGACCACAAGAACCTAGAGTATTGGAGAACGGCACGAGTGCTCAACCAACGGCAGTTGAGATGGGCTCAGGAGTTCTCCAAATTTAACTTTGAGATTTGTTACGTGCCAGGCCCAGAGAACGTTAGGGCGGACGCTCTCTCACGCAAACCTGAATATTTGGAGGGGGAGGGAGCACCCGAAGAAAGACATGTCATTCCAGAGGACCGCTGGGTGTGTGGGGCGGCATTGGTGGGGCAAAGAGAACTGGTAGAGGGAACGGAGAATGATGAATACGCCCAGGACAAACTTAGGGGTCTCAGGAGGGAGGGAGATAAATCCGGAGGTTTTGAGGAGAAAAACGGGGCGTTGTATTACAAGGGAGCGTTATATATACCTGAAGGTGATTTGAGAGAGAAGGTACTCAAGCAGCTGCACGATAGCCCCACAGCAGGGCATTTTGGGCAACACAAAACCATGTGGCTGGTTACCAGGGAATTTTGGTGGCCCAAGGTCAGGGAAGATGTGCGGGAGTATGTGAGAGGGTGTGACCAATGCCAGCGAGCCAAAGGGGAGAGGCGGGCGCCGGCAGGGTTATTAGAACCGCTACCCACACCTGAAAGACCATGGGAAGCAGTGGCAATAGATTTTATGACTGATCTACCAAAGTCCAGAGGGAAAACAGCCATCATGGTTGTGGTAGACCTGTTAACCAAAATGGCCCACTTTGTAGCCTGCTCACATGCTGTCACGGCAGAAGAAACAGCTAAATTGTTTGTAGAAAATGTGTTTAGGTTGCATGGCGCCCCCTTGAGGGTGGTTTCAGACCGAGGGAAACAATTTACTTCCAGGTTCTGGAGGAAGCTCATGAGCTTACTGCATGTAGAGGTCAATTTTTCGACTGCCCGGCATCCTGAAACCAACGGGCAGGCAGAAAGAGCCAATGGCATCCTCCAGCAATATTTGAGGTGTTATGTCAATGATAGAGAGAATGATTGGGTGGAGAAGCTGGCGTTGGCGGAATTTGCCTACAACAATGCAGAGAACGTGTCCACGGGGATGAGCCCCTTTTTGGCTAATTACGGGTGTCATCCCAGGGCTTTCCCAGGAGGGGAGGGGGAGAGATGGAGTGTTCCAGCTGCCGAACAGTTCGTAGAAGAAATGGAAGCGATCCATCGCCAGCTACAGCTAAATTTAGACAGGGCCAAGGAGGAATATAAGAGGCAGGCAGACAAAAACAGAAGAGAAGGTGAAACCATTAGGGTGGGGAACCAGGTGTGGCTGTCAACCAAGGGGTTACCCTTCAAAGGGGGTTGTAAGAAGTTAAGACCCAAAAGACTGGGCCCATTTGAAGTTACGCAACAGGTCAACCCAGTGGCTTTCAGACTCCGGTTACCGAACCACATGAAGCTGCACCCAGTTTTCCACAGGTCGTTGCTGTCACCGTATAAAGGGGACAGAGAAGGGAGGGTCACTCGGGGACCAGCAATGGAGGAAAGGGAACAAAGCTACCATGTAGCGGAGATCCTCGATTCCAGGTGGAAGGGAGATCAAGTAGAGTATTTGGTAATGTGGGAAGGGGAACCGGAGTCGGAAAACACCTGGGTCATGGCGGAGGATGTCAATGACGATGTTTTAATAGAAACTTTTCATCAGAGGTTCCCAAGTAAACCTCAGCCAGTAGCGAGGTTCCGGAGGGAATACTTTGCCACCACTGACGAAGAAGAGGAGTTGGAGGGGTTCACAGATTCCGAGGAAGAGGAGGAGTCAGCGAGCCGGAACGGAGACCGATGGAGGGAAATGTTCGAGACGTCTGAAGATGAAGAGGGTTCTTTTCAGGGTTTTACCTCCTCACCACCCAGAGGAGAGAGAACGGGAGGGGGTGAAGGGGGCCCTGGAGGGGAGGTGGATGTCAGGGAACTGCCATCGGAGGAACCGGTGGTGAAAGGGCTCACGCAGGCTGGGAGAGACTCAGCAGCTGAAGCAGGAACCAGCAGAGGGAGTGGTGGGTCTCTGAGGGAAAGCGAGCAGGAGGGAGGGCTCAGGGACTCTTCCAGCGAGAGCAGTGGGGGGGTATCTGAAGCTCCCATAGGGAGACCAACTCCTCGCCGGAAACTGTCACGTCGTGAGTCCAGAAGACGTGTTTCCGTTAAGGAGCTGTTATGCTGGAAACGATTCCGAAAGCAACCACTGTCGGAATCTGCAAGTGACTAGAGCAGCCATGTCTGAGGGGCTCTGTCACAGACAGAAGTTTGTGGGCTTGAACAAACTCTGAGGGATTACGATTTTACGCACAAGCAGCTCATCATCCCATCACAGTTTTGTTTCGACAAGATTTTAAGACTGGCGGGGGGGGCATGTCAGTTGTACAGTGGCATTTAACAGGTGTGTGTAAATACATATATTACTGCAATTAATGGTACTCTTCATAGCCAGGCAACTCAGTGATTATTTTGGTATATTAGATTCCTTATTCAAGACCTACAGCAAGCAATTTTGCCTTTGCATTTAGTGCTTTCCTAAAGCACAAAGCAATTATAGCTATTACCATGCATTACATCTGTGCAGCTTGGCAAAATACAATCTACTATAGATAAATGTTTCATATTTTCCGGAGCATTAAAACTACAGCTGAGAGAGGAATGAGTTCCAAGCTGGCCAATGCCAGCAATATACTCCACCTGGAGGTATTTTTTAAAATGAAAAGCAGCGTTCAAGAGCACAAAAATAAACACTGAAAATGGAACAAAGATGTTTGCCAGACTCTGTCAAGTCCAAGGCCAACAGGAAAAAAAACACACTGGAAGAAAAGTAGAGGTTAGTACAAGGGAAGGCATACGGTATTAAGTCTTCCCGGGAAATCTAACAGTGTATTACCTTGAATTCATGAACCATAGCTCTATCAACAGCAATTCACTATGACGACAAATATGTAGAGTCAACATGTACAAAAGTTCTACCTTCAGAGGCATCAAGCCTGTCTCTACTAGAAGCAGAATGCTGGCCCTTGGTTTTCTCCAGCGAGGCAATTAATTTGTCCCACAAACCTCGCAGAAGCATTCTGTAAGCACAGTCTGTGTGTCATTTGGCTCTCAGCCTATTAGTGTACTGGTCAGGACGCAACCAGGAATGAAAAGAACAGTCCAGGGAGTCAAATGATGTTACAGAGAAATACAGGAAGCTGCCTTATACCAAGTCAGTCCACTGGGTACATCTAGCTCAGCATCATCTACAGACTGTAAACTGATTGGCCATGACTCTCCAAGTTTTCAGACAGGGTTCTCTCCCAGATCTACCTAGAGATGCTGGGAAAATGAACTTGGGACGTTCTGCAGGCAAAGCAAATGCTCTTCCATTGAGCTATGGCCCTCTCCAAATATTATTCCTCCATTTGAGGAAAAACAGGTGTTTGGTGGTTTGTCTCTCTTCTTTCTAGCATGAAAAAGAAAGGACTCAAACCTGAACCAAAACTTTTTTTCCTGAACCTAAACAGAATTAAGTCCATTTGACTGCTGATCACAGGATTCTTATAAGACAGGGCGGACAGTCCAACTTTTCATACCAAGAGGGCCACAAGAGTACTTTGAGACGGAGCCTGGGGGCTGTACACTGCCTTGTTGTGTGGGGGAGTAAGGCCAAAATTTCACACACCCCAGCCTTCGTGATGCCTTCCCGAAGACAGCTAAGTGAGGTGCTGGACTTTGGAAAGGAAGCACAAAGCGCTGGAAGGGTCCTAGAGCCCCTCCCACAGCTGGGAAAATGCTAACTGGGCTTTGGGAAGGCGGCAGGAGGACTCTAGAATCCGGTCAGAGCCCCCATGCCTCCTTCCCAAAGGCCAGCATCTCCTCTCCTGGCTTTGAGAAGGCAGTGTGAGGGCTGTGGAGGGTGTAATCAAATGTTGCCACAGTCACCAAAAGAGGCCTTGAGGGCCACATGCAGTCCTTGGGTTGTGTGATGGACCACCCTGCTATAGGAGAAAGAGAACCTAGGCCCTGGAGCACACATACCATCTGCTCCTGACAGAACGATCAATGGTCTGAGAAAACCGCTGGGGCAGATCCTGCCCCACCTTCCCTTGGACAACCCTGCAGTAGCCCAGAAAAGGAAGAACACATACCATCAGCTCACAGTTGGCCTGAAATGGCTTTGTGACTCTTCATTTTAAATAACGTATTTGTTTTAATGCTTTAAAATAGTAAACCACCTTGGGTGCTTTGGCAGAAAGGGAATTGCAGTCCAACAACCTCTGGTCTATTGTCTTTACTAAAGGGGCATCCATCCCCCACGTCCCCTAGTGGGCATTAAGTTTCAAAAGTACTCTCTGCACCCCCATTGAGAATTCCACAAATCTGTTTCTACTTTGCTTATGACAGAGGATATACATTTGCTGTATATTTCCAGTAAATGAAAGGCAAGGATAACTCTTTGGAAGGTGAGTGAGAGAAAAAAGAATATGCTCAAAGCAAAATTTGGGACAATACAGTTACAGGTGTTCACTTGCTGCTATCTAAATGCTAAATGGCATTGCTATTAACTAATCTCATTACCTAAGCTCTAATGGAACTTTTAAACCACTTACACATATTTATTTTGTTATATTTCTTTCTTCTATATAAGAGTGGCTGGGGAAACCCAGCCAGATGGGCAGGGTATAAATAAATTATTGTTGTTGTTGTTGCTGCTGCTGCTGCTGCATAAAAGCTTTGGGGGGAAATAAGTAGCAATAGCACATTCATAAGAAATGTCAACAAAGCAGCCTACCTCTTATGCATATCCAACAGTCAGTCCTCTTATTATGCTTAGCAAGTTCGTCTTCAGTCACCTCTATTAATCTTCCTTTTAGACCAGTTAGATCTTTCCCACTTTTAGTTAATCGAATCCAGTCCATAAGACTTCGGCCTGGTTTCAAAGGTACCTAGAAAGGAAGATAAGTTTGTGGAGGAAGATAAGTTTATTAAATAATTAGCAACAAAAAGCAGAAGTAGATCGGTCTATTGCAATCCTTTATGGTGAACAGCAAAAAACCTTGTTTAATTCTGGCACACAAAGACAAAGCTATGCAAAGCAGAAGAAAATAACCTTCAAACAGAGACATAGCAGACAATGGTGAGGAAAGTTAGCATGCAGGACTGCTTCTGTGGTAAATACGAATATGTAATCTAATAATCAGAAAAACTGGGGGAGGGGGAGGGAAGTTCAATTTATTCCAGCCAAGTTCTCCTATCCAAACACATTTCCCTGAACAGACCCTTGGAATGGGGTATAGCTTAAGGTTTTTTCAGGCTGTGTGTGTTGCTGTTATTAATATTCACTTTCTGTATCTTTATTTTAGATCTTATAATTTATGTGGAAATTGTTTAACTTGGTTGTGTACTTTTGATATTTTAGTTATTATTTATGGCTATTTTTGTTATGTTCGTAATTAGGGATTTTTTTCATGTTGTTAGCTGCCTTGAACATGACTTGAACTATGGAAATGTGGCATAAAAATAAATGTATGTAACCAAGCCCCACGAACATCATTATAGCTAATGGTCTAGGCTCTTGAATTAATTTTTTTATCACAATTTCATATCCTGGCTTGTCTGTAAGCCAGTAACTATAGTTTCCTAGTTCTTATGTAGTGGGAAGTTACGGTTAACTGTGGCTTTGTGCCATATTTCACTGCTCATGGGAAGGGAGGAGTAAAGTAACTACTTAATAAGCCAATATTTTATAACATAAATGCAGTCATTGTGCATTTAAGTGCTCTAAGTGCACAATTTAGGCTTGGTCTTTACTTCTATATGAAATTAAATCAGAGACAACATTGGGCCCGGCAGTGGGAGAAGATATACAAACTAGAAAGACAAGCATACAGCAAATCTCTTGGTCAAGGAGACTATGCTTTAAATGCAATTGAGAACATGTAACATAGGGGATTTTGAAGGAGGCTATTGTTTCCCCAACAGAATTTCTATCTCCCTACAATAGGGAGATACTTATGCTGGAAAATATGCAACTTGTGTATGCATGAGGAACACAACATTGCATCAGTTCCTGCTTTTCCTGCATCTTTAGTCACTCTAAATTTCTAGTAATCTTCTCCTTAGATCTTCAATATGGGCAGAACTTCACTCCAATTACTACTGTTATTTGTGACACACTTAACAGCTGCGTGGTTTTTAAAGTGCACATTCTTCTCTAATGCTCAAACAGCACTGTCTGCAAAAGAGCTGTACCATGAAAAATTCATTGACTCTACTTGTTGAGGACTCCACAATTTCCACAGCCCATCACATTACTTAACAGGAATCAGCTGACATACCAACACTGGCTTCAGCCTTATACTACCGCATGACAGCCCACTAGTTTCATAATGACAACAATCAGCTTGAAGACACTTCAAAACCAATCTTCCTTTATGCAAATGTTCCCCATACCCTGCCACTATTATAGTTTTAACCAAACACCACACTGGACTTAAGTTGAGTCCCAAACACATGAAAGTAATAGGATGCACAGAAGCATCTATAGTCTTTCCACAGCCCTAAAGAACAAAAAAGTCAGACACCACCCGTCAGCTATTAGGGCTTCCAGGATAATGAGCGTATTCTGAAAGCAAGCTTGAACCCTGGAGCTCAACTTCTCTTTTAGAAGCTACGTGCCCCATAACACAACGGTCCTCAAAGGAGGAAACTGCCAGATGCATCTGTGTTGCCTGCAAAACACACACACACACACACACACACACACACACAAGAAAAGGCAGCACAAACTGCTCTTAACCTAAAAGCACCTCTGAACCTCATTCCCTTAAGGACTGACACCATCCTCTCGCCGGGCAGAACTTTAGGAACTACGTAACAGACAGAAACCAAACAGCTTTTCTCACTTCCTAAATCTCCGGGCCAGGAAAGGCTTCACCTGCCGAGTTTCCGCCTGTAACACCCATCTGGGTTCCAGATCTCTACCCTCAACGAGCAAATGAAGCGTTAACCCCCATTCCGCCTCTGCAGGTGCCAATGCGCAAGGCGACCCCTCTCACACCGCCAGCTTGCCCTGGGACCCAGTGGCAAGGAGTACCACAGACTCCCCCCCGGTCCCAATTCCCGCCGCACCTTGCTGCGCCCTCCCGCGGCCACCCGCTGCTGGGAGCCTGGGGCAGGGAAAGCTTGAGAGGGGACGTTGAGCATCCTGCCGGCCGCAGGACAGCCGCCCCAGCCGCTGCCGCCTCTTCTTCAGAAACTGCAAGCGGACGGAAAGAGCCGCTTCCGGGTCCGGCCCGGCGCCGAAGCAGCCAGTAGCGTAGCTGAAAGGCAGGCGGAGACTTAAAAGGCCGTACTGCGCAGGCGTGAGGTTGAACTGGGGCGGAGCGGGGGGTGGGAGCTCACTCCACCGACGAGGGCGCGTGCCTAGGCCCCACCCACCAGAGTTGACTGACGGCGGCATCGCAAAAACCCACGGCGGGGGCGGGATCTTCCGCCCACCGTGGTCCAGAGACGCTCCTAGCTTGCCGCTTTACCGCTTGCCTGTGTTTTGTTTCGCGCGCTCGCTGCGCGGGGATTTGTTCCTTTAAAATGCTCGCATCCTGCTTTTCGAGTGGCGCTTGCTCCAAGCGGCGGCAGAGGATCGTACAACCATAACATCAATAATAATAACAACAATAATAATTCGAAGTATTATTATTATTATTATTATTATTATTATTATTATTATTATTTCCATAGCTGTCAACTTTCCCCCTTTTTAAAGGGAAATTCCCTTATTCCGAATAGGATTCCTCACAAGAAAAGGGAAAAGTTGACAGCTATGATTATTACTAATAATAGTAATGCGAAGTATTAAAATAGACGTCAGTTTTGCATGCCTGGGTATTCCTGCCTCAACAAAAAAGTATTCAGTGCAGTAAAGGTCGCCTGCCTAATCTCTCAGCCTAACCTACCTCACAGGGTTGTTGTGAGGTTGAAATGGAAAGAACCACTTACACCACCTCACCTGTCCCACCCCCATTCCTGCATTAAGCAGGAAAGTGTGATGAGGGCTTCTACACGTGTATAGCAACCCTACTCACGTTTGCATCGCCTATAAAGGCATAACGCCTGAATACAGTTATTGCGGATCTCCATGAGCCGTAGCTAGGATATGGGGTGTGTGTGTGTGCAGAACCTCAGTTTGCTATGTATGCTATGCCCATGTTGATCTCACTATTTGATAGAGTACAGTTCTGAACCGTTTAACCCATGGCAGTCCCTTCGAAGCCAATGGAGTTACTTCAGTGGATGAGTAAGCAATCTATGCTGTAGAAAACTGCTCAGAATTCAGTACACATTATGCTCTATGTGCACCAGTGATTTAGGACTTTTTAATAAAACCTACTTTTCTTATCTGGAAAGTGTCTCTGTGTATGGAGATGCAACAACATGTTACTATTGCCTGTAAACACACTATTTATTTTGTAGATTTATATTCCACTTTTCAGATAAACCTTCTTACAAGGCAGCTCACAATAATGTATAAAAACAATCATAACAACAAAATGAAAAAATACAAAAAGAAAGCCTAACTAAAAAAAAGTTTTCACACATCAGGATACACAAATAAACTAGTAAGAAGTGTTCCTGAGTAAAAATGTCTTCAGAGTTCACTTAAAGGATAAAGATTTCCATTACTAAAGCTGAAATTCTATGCAGCTTACTACAAACACACGAGCAGTATATGTGCTTGTGTAATTTTCATATACAATGTCCTACACATGGATCTTACTTTGTTTCCCTATAGGAGCAATTTCTATATATGAACTACTGTATATTCTGAGTGGTTCCAGTTTCACACACATGGAACATTGTTTGAGTTTATGAAGTGTAAATCAGCATTGAGTTAATCCAGTTTATCAAGTCAGATACATTTTGTACTCCAGTTGAGTCTGGTTTTAACTCTTTATGGAGATTTCAGTAATCAAAAAAGGCAATGTTTACTCAAAAGCAAGCCCCATTGTTCTCAGTGAGGCATGATATCAGGTAGGATAACTAGATGCAAAAGAGGATGGGTTTTCCCCACCTTTAATAGTTGTGCAGAACAGAAAATTTCACCTTGCATGACAAGCTACATCTGAAATTCTCTATTCTACACAACTATTGAAGGTGATGGAGCTCCATCCAAGTAAATGTACATAGGATTACAGCCCTACAGTGCAATCCTACACTTGTCTATTCAGAAGTAGGCCTCACTGAGTTCAATAGGACTTCCAGGTTAGTGTAGGATTGCAGGCTTAGATCCTTTGTTGACTTAAGAATGGAATAATTTAAGAATGAGCTGCCTCTTTCATTTTCTAAGGGCAGCTTCCAGAATGACAATATTTTCATATGTGATGTGTGGCACACAACACAGGAAACACAAATTCACATTTCTCCCTCTTGCCGGTTTGTATGCTTCTCTTTTTTAACCCTGAAAAACAATGCAAGGCTGAAATTCTTACATGAACATCAGTTCCACTGAAATCAATAGGGCTTCTTCTTCTGAATATGTTCAGAATCAGGGTATAGGGCATATTTTATTTTTTTAAGTATCTTTTTAAGGGATATATATCTGGACATATATCCAGATTCCAATATGCAAGCTCACCCCTCCTTACTTCTGTCCGCTGCCACAATGCATCCAACCACCTCTGCAGCTCTGTAATTCTAATTGACTCTGCTGCCCTATGGTACTACCAGCATAAAAGAGTTGCTATTTTCAGAGGAACAGAGGAGTGTAGCAGGCATAAAATAAAACAAAACTCAATACTGTTTCTATAAAAATGTAAAATGCTTGCTTTTAATGAAAAATAACTTACATATAAATTAGCTTAAAATACTATGATAGCATGTTGATATCAATATTAAATTAACGAATGAATATGAACAGTGGTATTAACATTCATTATAATTAAGAATCCAATTCTGCTCCAGAATCATGTTCCGAGTCATCACTATCCTCCTCACTCTCTGAATCTTCATAGAAGGAAATTGTGGCTTGGACAGGAAAGTTCTTCAGAAGTGCTTCAGCTTCTTGATACAAGTAGTCAAAGCACCTTGATTTGGGCCAGAATAACCTAAAAACACACAGAGACAACCTGTTCTGTTAATTTAACATTTAAGGGATTCACTTCAGTTTAGTTGACCTAGGGTTAATGTGAAATAACTTTTGCTGAAAATTACTTCTTTAGGATTTAGAGCAAATGCGTAAGAGGTAATTGGTGGAAATTGGATACTTCACCTTAAGCAAGTGGAACTTCTTTCAGCTTACATGGTGGGTAGCATTGGATGCAAACCAGAGTTAGGAGCTATAATATGTGGCTGCACTCTGATACTCCATTTACTAGAGCTACAAAAATCCAGCAGGAAATGGAAGTTTAATGAGAAAACAGGCCCTACTTATGCCTAAATGTAATTAGGGGCATTTCACACCTAAAGTTTCCCTACAATTAAATATTAAATGATGCTGCAAACCTTTCTGAATGGTTTGGTACTGGTAATAGCTCTGCTCTTGTACTGCAAAAGGCGTAAATGTACTACATTCTTAGCGATGACACAGAACTTTGGTTCCGCAGCAGCTGCTTAGTGGGCCCATCACTTCAGTCTGCAACCTAGTTCCCCACCCTTGTGAAAATTTCTTGTCCTTGGCCAGAATACTTAAACATACATTCTGCATAACTCTATCATTAGTAAAACAGAAGCTATGTAAGCCCTCAAATACAATTATTGTTGTACAAGGTCAAACAGATACCTCTGACAACTCAAACACCAGATATGGTTTGATAGCATCTGATGGGAAATTTAACGATACAGGTCTGAATTGCTCCTGGGCACATATAGTGAGTAGGACATATACACATACAAGAAAGGTTAGCTTTGCACTGGAAACTTTGCCATGATGCTTGATACTGACATCTCTGCATAGTACATGTTCCCGTTCCCCTGGGTGAAAATAAGAAGATATTTCATGTGGAATTGTAATGTACACCATAGGAATCATGGTCTTCAATAGATGGGCCACATGCTATTCTATGACCATTAGGAGAGGCAGGTGTGCAATACAAGCAGCAGCCTCATAAAGCCTTGTGGGTCAGAGGGACAGTGCAATGATGTAGCTGCTGCCTGAAATTAACAAAAAGTGTCCACTGTTCTGCACCATAACCATTTCCCCCTGTTGGTATTCTTCCCACTAGGCAGCTGTTAATGATGCAGGAGCCCTGCTAGGAAAAAAATAGTGAAGATGGCCCTAACAGAGACTGTAAGGAATAATATTAATGTTTACACCTTACCTAACTGGATGTATATACTGTGTGAGTTTTGCTGAGTCTGTCTCAGAAGAGCTGCACAACTAGGAGTAATAAACAGGAGACACAGATCAAAAACAGAATGATTAACAGTATCCAGAAAGGGCAGTTTCAAAAGTAATATTAAAACTATTCCTGAGCATGGAAAATTTGTGGAACGTAAGGAAGTTGATTTCGTTTTAGCCATTTGTGGTCCACCAGATGCTGCTGAACTACAACTCCCATCATCTCTGACCATTGGCCAGGCTAGCTGAGGGTGGATGAGAGTTGGGAATTCAACAACATCTGAAAGGACCACAGGTTCCCCAGCCCTGCCTGACAGATAGGACATGCATATTCAGGTATCACTTGTGAAAGAAACGTAAAGCAAAATTCCAGATACCAAAGAAGAGTGTCATCCTGTTCAATTATTGACTTGGCATTTTTAAATGACCAAAGCTTTATAATGCCTTTATAATGGATTCTTATTTGTATTACTTGGTTGTATTTGCTGTATTTCGATTTTACAGTTTCTGTAACCTGCTTAAAGTAAAGGTAAAGAGGCCCCTAACCATTAGGTCCAGTCGTGGCCGACTCTGGGGTTGTGGTGCTCATCTCGCTTTATTGGCCGAGGGAGCCAGCGTACAGCTTCCGGGTCATCTGGCCAGCATGACTAAGCCGCTTCTGGCGAACCAGGGCAGTGCACGGAAACACTGTTTACCTTCCTACCTTCCCAACCTATTTATCTACTTGCACTTTGACGTGCTTTTGAACTGCTAGGTTGGCAGGAGCAGGGACCGAGCAATGGGAGCTCACCCCGTCACGGGGATTAGAACCGCCAACCTTCTGATCGGCAAGTCCTAGGCTCTGTGGTTTAACCCACAGCGCCACCCGCGTCCCTGTCTGTAACCTGCTTAGGGATTTTTATTTTTGCCAAAAACATATATAACTTTTCTAATTAATTAATTAAAAGCATGCCATCAAAATAAGCATGACGTTGCCCTCACTATTGCCAACTTGGGCTCTTTGGGAAGAAGGGTGGGATATAAATTGAAACAGCAGCCAGCAGCAACAAAGACATAAAAATAATGTCAAATCCCAATATGACTTCCTTGGAGGTTTTTGAGCAGAGGTTGGCTGGCCATCTGTAATGGTTGCGTTGGCTGAGATTCCTAAATTGCAGGGGGTTGGAATAGATGACCCTCGGGATCCCTTCCGACTCTACAAATCTATGAGTTTTCCCGAATTGTGTTTAACTGACAGCCTGAAAAGGAAAGGACAACTTTCCCATTCTCGCTCCTGCACACCCACAAAGTTAACGATCCAAGGACCAGCTTAGTCAGGAGAACACAACTCCCCGCTCCAGTCACCCCACGTGGGACTGTTGCCGCTTTAATCAGAATGGACACACTCACCGCCCTGTAGTCTCGCCTGCGCTGCCTTTCTGCATCTTTGGGGGTGGGAATCCAAGGTCTCCAGAATCCTCCGGACCTGTAGAATCAATAGAAGGGAATACAGCTTTGCGTTAGCTGGGCGACACAAAAAAAGCGGTTGGTAATTGGAAAGGAGGGTGGAGGGAAAGGAAAGGAAAACACTCCAAGCCTATGATTTCTGGAGCTGGCTGGCCGGCTAGCGGGTCTGGAGGAAAACGCGGGTTACCTCGCTTGTCCTCTGCAGCAGATCCGGGCGTTGTGCGCGCCAGGTGGAGAAGTACAGAGGCGCAGCCGAGAGCTGTCCATGCTGCGTCGCTGGCAGCAGTCGAGGCAGCCCAAGTGGCGCAGACGCCGCTGGCGCACCGCTTCCTCTTCCTCCTCCTCCTCTCCTTGTCGTTGTGTCTCTCCTTCGGGGGTTTAGCCTGGCCTGGGTTCTGGTGCGGCTGCCGCCCGAGGGGTTTTTATAGCTCTCGCCGCGCAGGGTCCCAGCCACTTTCTCTCATTTGCCGGAGAGGTAAACAAAAAGGCTGCGCGTGAAAGGCGCGTCAGGGTAAACAAGGAGCGTGGACGCGTGCGAGCTCCAAATGGCCCAGGGAGAGGTTTGGCGAGGGAGTGTGAATCGCACTTGAGCAGACACATGGCTGTGTTGTCCTTCAGAGGGGAGAGACCACGCTTGGGCTCGGGCTGCGAAGTGTCCAGCGTGAGAAAGCCAGCGTGTGTGTATCTGTGTCTGAGGGTGTGCAGTTTTGCTGGGAGAAATGCCGCTTCCCGCGTTGGAAAATTCCTGCAACTGTATTTTTAGTTCATTCGAATATTTAGTTCTCCCTTTCCCAAAAATCGTGTCCAAAACAACTTATAATGATGAAACAATCAGATCCAACGCAGGGAGAAAACAATAGAATTGAACAATAAAAACAAATATATAAATTTCATTCTCTCACTCTTACACACCCACACATGGGCGTAGCCAGGATTTTTTTGGGGGGCTAGGACTTTTGTTGGGGGGCAGAACCAACACAATTCGTCAGTTAAGTATTATTATTTTTTTACTTGATGGGGGGGGGCAGCTGCCCCTCCCTGCCCCCTTGGCTACACACAGACACACACACATATATAACAATTTTATATACAAATATATATATAACAATTTAAAATACAATGGCAAGAACAATGAGCTGAAACAAAACACCTGAAATACCTAAAGGCATCTATAGAAGAAATGGTGTGTATATATATATATACACACCATAGAAGAAATGACTGAAAGTTTCAATGGAGCACTATCTAGTTTCTAAATGTTTTTCAGAAATTGCCCACTCCATGTTTATTTTTCACAAAGAAGGCCTCCCCACATGGCCTCCGCATGGTTGCAGGAAGGAGCACTTGGATCCTGGCCACATTGCATGGGAAGTACATGGGCCAGCATCACAAGCTTGTGCCACTTACAAAATCATGGATATTGCTTTAGCTCCTAAAGCTGGTCTGTGGTGTTGCGATAGAAGGCTAGAGTCAAAAGCTTACAGATTTGAAAGCACATTCCATGGGAGTCAAGTGTTTTCCATCAGGGTGCCAATTACATAGACCTAGTTTGTGTTGTTTATGATGCATTTGGCTCCAATTTTCCACATTTATTAGGTCACTAGGAATATTTCATCAGTTCGGGGGTGGCTTGTGTTACCTTTGAATTGGAGCTGTTGATTAGCTGCAGGAGGGTTTATGAGCTAAGCACACAGTAAAACAAAATACCACTCAAGGCAAGAGCAGGGGTGATCTATACTGAGGGAAAAGAGAGTTAAAGGTTTGAATAGTGGACTGGAAAACTGGTATTGCATGATAATATGCAGAGGAACTTTAGGAATATTTTATTCATAAGAAAAGTAATACTATTTGAAGTGGTAGTTGTCACTTCAATTATTTAAAGCAGGCTGAATGGTGCACACAATGTGTGCACACCTATAGAATGCCTATAGGTGTCATGGGAGGAAGTAAGAATGCACAGTGAAAAGCTGTGTACCAGTTATTAGTACGGTCATAAGCCAAGCAAATAGCAACTCTCCCCCTGCCAAGGTAGAACAATATCATATAGTAAATGTACAGTGTTTTTTATGGTCTTAAAATGATCATTATTATGACTGGTAGGGCATATGTGAAGGAAGGGCTTGTATATTACAGGGTTCCCTCTGCAAGTTTAGTGTATGTGTGTTTACTGTTCCATGTGCAGAATGTACAGAGACACATCTGCCAAGATAGGCTTGTCCATGTAATAAACTTCCATAGGAAGTCTAGCCTCCTGGTGAAGTGATAACCTGGGTGATGAGCCATTAAGTAGTCCACATTGTTGCATGTCAATCCAATCTCTGAGCAGTACAGGGTTTGCAGGCATGCTTACCCAGGGTTTGTGTTTCCTTCAGGAATGCAGCACAGTGGAGACTGTGGTGTCTTTATGATATATGGTTTATTTATATACATATGTACAATGTGAGACTACACTGGAGGATTCATCAACACCCCAAGAGGGTCTTGCTTCCCCCTTCATCAGAGCCTTCCATTCAAACAGAAATCATACATTGCTCTCAAATGTTGCTCTGACTCTCTCTCCAGCTTGCTACTTTAGTTCTGGTCCACAGCACTGCAAAAAAACTCTACTCTGGCTTTGTCAGTTAAAGAAGGGGCTCCACCCATTTGCCATCTCACACTGAGCTCCTTAATCCCCTAATGGCTCATCACCCAGGTTATCACCTCACCAGGAGGCCAGCCAGGCTATTCCAAGAATTAGAAGCCTTGATTAAATTCTAACACTTGCTGGATCCAGGGATTAGAGGGGTCTGCCATATACATAGCTTAGCACCCCAAACTCTTAGAGTGCACATGCAGCAGCAGAACTTCAGTTAAATGAATCATTGCTTGGAGCACACATTGGGTTGTAAAGTATTCAGACTGAGACTTGGCATAAAATAAAAAGTTTATATTTATTAAAGGAAGTACATTTTTGATATACCTAACTATCTAGTTGGAGAAACAAAGATGTTCTACTTGCCTTTTTGTTCTTAGAAGGTAGATCAAGATGGGCTTTCAGTTTTAGGTCCTGTAAAAGTGTGAGGAGGAACAAGTTGTAAACAGGATGCAACCTAAGATGTATCAGTCTAAACTGAGCATCAAGTCAGCATAGACATAAAGGTAGAGGGATAGTCTAGGAATCCTGAAGTTCATCAAGCTATCCATGCAAACTCCATGCAAACTTCCCTCATTAAGCTGAGTTGCACCCGAACTTCCAACAGGAAAGTCATTACTGACAGCAATTTCCACTTTGATGACATAGAAGATGCATAGTTTGGTGTGAGTAGACAGCAGATGCAGTTGGCATACGTCTGCTCCAGCCGTTCTCCAAAATGGCCTGCAACCATCCTCTTGCAACACTTATCCCATCAAACATGACTCCTCCATTCATAAAAAATACATCAAACTACAAGTTTGGGGGTGTTTTAATACCAGCCCATTCCATTCTACTCCATTCAATTCCATTCACTTTATTGCATTGCTATATTGCCAATAAAAACCAAAATATGTGGAATAGGGAAGGAAATAAGACTTGAGCTACCGCAAATGACATACATGCACCTCCCAGAGAGTGTCCTCCCTGAGATGGCCCTGAATCACATCTGTCCCAGTGCTTTGTTTACGCACAAGACACTGCCAAGGATTGTGCTTTAAAGTCATTAATAGGCAACACTTATAGAACAGAATAAGATAGTGGAGTTGTGCACTCCAAAATAATCTTGGGGTCACTACAAATGACACACCCACTCATGCAGGACAGTATCCTCTGGAAGTTGATGTTGCATCACATCTAACACAGTGCTTAGTTTAGGTGCAGGGCATGTGCCTCCAATGCAATAATAGTTAAAACTATTAACTATGACTAAGATGAGTAACTAGGGATGCACATCCCAAAATAAGCTTCGTACCATTACAGATCATACAGTCATATCTTGGAGAATGTTGTCTACAAGGTGGCAGTGAATTGTGACCTGTCCAACACTTTGGGTGCAAGACACTGACAAAATGTGCTTAAAGGTAGAAGAAATAAATGGGGATGTGCAGCTCACAGTAACCTTTGTGGTACCTCAAATGATGCACCCAAATGTTGAGGAGAGTATTGCCTATGAGAAGCCATACAATCATGTCTGACCCAATGCAGGGTAGGTGCACATGATGCTGACAGGTGTGTGTGCCCCAGCCAATATTAAGGAAAGATTTCTATAAATGAATAATGAACTGGGGGTAACCTTTGGACCACCCCAAATCTTATCTCTAAGAATGAATTCATATATATAGGCAATTGTTGCAACGATCAATGAAGTTGGGGCTATCCAATATCAAACTGAAGGGCAGATTATTTAAGACCTCACTGCCATTGTATTCCCAGGTGTAACACTTGCCTTTTCTCCCTTAAGAGTAAATGGCAGCCATAAACTTATATGGAAGAAACAAAAGGGGTGAATGTAGGGTTGTGGTTGACGATTTAAAGTGGTATGTTACTGCTTTCAACAACTGGTGCAGATGAAGCCAAGGCCACTCTGCAGTTTGACAAAATGTTGGGAATTATATACTTTATGAGTGTTAAAATGTTTATTTGTGGTATTACAACTTACAACGGTTCTGCTATCATATCCAATACTGATTACACACCCCCAACACAGCCAAATATATAAAAAGTATTAAATTTTGCTTATCCGCCTCTTTGTGTACATATGCTGCAGTTAATGTCCAAAGTTACTTAAATGAATATTGATGCTGACAATTCTAGACACGTTTTGTAAATGTCTAAAGAAAGATAGATATAAATACTAGATATATGCACACATTTAGGAGACTGTCAATTTGGACATTTAGGGGATTAATTTGGAATTGAGCTATTTTTGAACATTTGGCTTAATATATTAATTGCAGCTTTATCACTTAAGTAACCAGGCATTTGGACTGAATCCGTCTTGAGAAATGTTTTCATTGTCCACAGTGCAACACTGGGAGACAATGCCGTATAACATGGACACACAAGAGTAAGCACTGAGATCTGGGCAAACCTGAGTGTGTTAATCCAAACAAGAAGGGTGTTCACAGATGGCTCAGGGTGAGATTTGGCAGGGGGTGCTAATGACACTTTTACATGGGAATATCTGGATGGAAAACATTCCACTCTTCATTTTTACCTCTGAGTTAACAAAGTTTGAACAGAGCTCTTGCTATCACTGGAACAATGCTGCATTGTGGACCTTCTATTTGTAAACAATAAGCAGAATTATATCTCTATTTTACATATGCAATGTTAAGGGCTCAGTGTGTGTTACAGATCTTACTTTTACAGCCAGGATTCTGTTCTGCTTCACTACGGATGACAGGAAAACACCCAAGGTAATTAGTTTGTCACCTCTTTATCACTAATGACTTTCTGAGGTTGAGAACCTCTTATTACAGGAGATTCCACGGTCTTGAAAACTTGAAGACAGAACCAGTCCACAGGATTATTTTTTTAAATG